ATATGTTACTGTATGTTTTTTTTTTTTTTTTTTTAACTCCCCCTGTCCCCCTTAATAAAAATTCTCACCCTCTCACAATTATTCATTGTGCGTTCCATAACTCCATGCCTACAGCAGACTACCCACTAATACATTCACACAGAGATCAGTGGTGCTGGAGTCCACTCACAGCCAAGTCTGCCCACATTACCCACTCCTCCTCACTGTGGTCGTGATTACAGCCTTTTTTTTTGCACCGCATCTCCGTGGGAATTAGGCAAATATATTTCATAACAATAAGAAAAACATCACTCGTGGTGGCTCAGGTAATGAATTTACTCAGAACCAACTTATATCAGTGGGAATGTGTGTTTCTCTCCTAACCTGGAACTGTTTTCTCGGAAAAGAAGATAACATACATTGTCACATTCTGGAAAACTCTGGAAAGGGATTTCATCATTCATTCATTCATTCGTCCATCCATGCATCCAGCTTACAAACTCTGTAGTTTTTCAGGTGTGCTCTTCATAGTGGCTCTCATAGTGAGGGTTTGTATTTTTAAAACGATATCAGAAAAGACTTCAAATTGGTTAAACTTGAGTGTGAGAAATGAGGAAGTGCAGCTTTGTAGAAGTTGCAGGAACCCTGCATGTTCTCTATAGTCGGGCACGTGTGACCTGTTGGTCTTTCTGTTATTTTTCAGGCAAAAGATGAGCTGCGCCCAGTCAGGGACGACTTCGAAGCCAAGAACAAGCAGCTTCTGGACGAGATGCCCAAATTCTACCAGAGTCGCATCGACTACTTCCAGCCCAGCTTTGAGGCTCTCATCCGTGCGCAGGTTAGTAAACTTCTCCATAAACGCAGACCCACGAAGGCGCTCGCAGCTGCAGACACACCCTTCCAGCAGTGAGCTGTTAACAGTGGATAAAGTGTCTGATGAAGGGTGTGTTTAACTCAGGGCAGTCTGTCTCCCTCTCTGCGGTCCTAATGTGATTAACCCCCAGTAACGGCCCACGCTGCTTTGAGGAAGGCCTCATCTGTCTGGCTCCGCTGCTGTCCTGCAGGCCTTCCTCCAACCTGGAGTTTGTCTTTAAGCAGCTGAGTGTCTGAAGTTAGCGCCGCCACATCCCCTCCCCCCCGACACAGACCTGCTTGGCCCATGTCATTTCCTCTCTGGGACAGTCACTGGAACACACCTAATTAGTAAATTAGATTATCTGAGACTTATTGACAATTAGGAGTTTGATGATGCACTTTCAACTTGCAAATTGAGCAGGGAAAAAAAGGCTGTATTTTAAGAATCTGTTTGTTAAACTAGTTTTGAAGTATTTTCACCTGGACATTTTCAACAAGCAGAAGAAGAGGAAGATGGGTAGAGCTGATCTTGAGCCATGCGCTCCTCTTCATCCCTGCTGTGTCAGATAAAGGCACAAAGGCTGCTTTTGTTGTGAGCATTCAACTTCTCTATGAGAGGTCTTATCCAGTAATGTTCAGAGTCAGCACAGGCTGATATGAGCTTCTCACAGTGTCCTAACCTCTGCTAAAACAGGCTGAGATTCACCCAACAGGCTTTTTAGAGCTGGACCAGATTTCTGTTTGTCTTTATGGATTAAGCTGGAGATTCCTGTTATATCAAAGTCTGAATGTTTTTTTTTTATCCTAATGACAGTTAAGAGGAAAAAAAAATCCCTGACTTTAGTTTAATTTTTATTTAACTCTGTGCTGCAGAGTGAAATAAAGATGCATTTAGAGACGAAAGGTTGAAAGAGTTTATAGCTTTGATGCATTTGATAAATATAAAACAAAGGCATCAACCTACAATATAAATAATTAGAATTAAAATAATTAAATGTTAATTGAACTTTGTTGATCTCACATTGTAGTAATTTACCTCTGCATTTAACCCATCCCTTTGGGGAGCAGTGGGCTGCCATTGTGCGGCGCCCAGGGAGCAGTGTGGGGTTAAGGGTCTTGCTCAGGAACCCATAGTAGAGGCTGTGGGATGCGAACTAGTTACTTGCAACCTTCTCAGAGCACAAGCGCACAGCCCTAACCACTAGGCCAACAATCCCCCACAACTGAATCATACATTTCTGGAAATGAAAATAGTTATATTGGGTTTGATGCTAAGGAATGGTTTTTAAATTAATATTCTTATTGTACTTATAGCTTCGAGTTGTTTTGTTCTCAGCATCAAACTTATATTTAATCAGCTGGGTAACCTGTTGGGTCTGAAGCTCACAGCTTATCAGCTGTAGCTTTTAAAAAGTATTAACTTACCATCATTACAATGGATTTTTTATTCTAAACAACAGAATAATGATGAGCAGAGTAGTGACGTTGCAACCAGCGAACCAGATCTGGATTCACAAATGATGGATAAAAAAACCTGAGGTCTCTGGTAGTTTCTTTGGTTTCTCATTAAATACCACAGAAATTACTTAATATTAGTTAAAACGGAAGCAGAAGCCGAGCATAAAATGTTCAGGGTGAGCTACTGGCTTGCTTAGAAGAAACAGTTATTTTCAGATTAGAGACGGGAGATATGGACCCTAAAATTCTATCATAGTAGTTTATGGTTGTTATTGAGATGACTATGAAATGACATTAAAAGGTATTTTATTATTCTTTAGCATCATTTCTAGCAAACGTGGTAACGTCTCTAAGTAGCAGCAGTTGTGTGTGGCTGAGCTGACTCCCAGCACTGACCTGAGTAATTGTAATAGTGGCTTTGGGCACAGAGGGCACAGTGATCTGGTGTACATTATCATCACCGTTCATATGGACATTTCCGACGGCCCTTTCAACAAGTCTCTTTTTGGGGAAAAAAGTGTATCCGTTTTCCCCCTACAAACAGCAGAAACCCAATACTTAGAGCCCACTCATGTGGTTTAGGTGGCACATATTGGTGTAAACAGGCAATGTCTTTCAGACTGAGCACCTCAAAGAGCCGGTGTAAAGTGGTTTACAGACCTGACATTATTCCTTTTGGCCTGAAATCCTTATTATACTTCTGACAAACTTCTGAGTCAACAAATAATTCGATTCAGTAAGTAAATCTTTTCTCGTTTGTTATCTTGCTTGGTCCTGTTATTTCCTCCTGCAGTGGAAAATATATGTTGTCTCACAGACGCCTTACACGTCCCCTCAAGAGCGTGGCATTGTTTGCATTGCTGTTTGAATAAATATTGAGCTGTGGGTTTCAAGGGGGTTTCATTTCCCAGTACTTTTATACTCTGCCTACTCTTCTTGGAGTCCTGTAATGTGATTAAAGTCTATTAATCATCAAAGCAACTCTCTAGGGAGCCTGACTCATGCACTAAGGGGAAGAAGCAGGGGTGGGAAGTGTCAAGAAAGCTTTCAGTTAACACTATCTCTTGTTCAGATTGGGAGAGAAAAGCAGGGTCACTATCAGCTCTACTGCTGGTTTTGGGGGGGCCCTGTGGGATGTTTGATTTCTACTCGCTCCCTTTTTTCAAATCACTCCTCCTTAGTAAAAGACGTATGAGACTAGCAGCTTCAGATGAGAGTTTAAGCACAATTAGACTACTACTAAGGTCTGTGGATTAACCCCTGAACATGTTCATTTTAGAGGAAAGATAGAACCACATTCTTCCCTCCACGTCACAATATTTTTTTCGTTTGTTTTCTGCCCCTAAGGTGGTCTACTTCACTGAAATGCACAATATCTTCAGCGAATTAACGGACAAGATCGACCAAGCTGGGCTGACTGATGAGCAGAGGCAGAAGGAGACCGAGGCCAAGCTCAGCGAGCTGCGCTCTCTGTCAATTGTCGCGGACGACTGAGGCGGGAACGCCGAGGATTGGGATGTGCTCTTTTCATGCCTCTCTGAATGGATTTTACTCTCCGAGCTGCTCTGGAGTTCAGACGGACAGCAATGGCCTTAAAATGATGGGCGGCTTCTGTAATTGCAGCCCCACACGTTTTGCACTACATCCTTGTGACTTCTTGTTTTTTCCCTCTGTGCAAAGACATTGTAATCCGGAGCAGCTCAATGCCACATTAACTAAGCCATCAGCCAAGTGCGACTTTATCAGCCAATATGTTTTTTCCTGTACCAGAATCAGGTTTCAATAGAGCATATTAAACTGCATTATTTTAGAGAGATTTTGTTTTATAAGGGTACATTTAAACAGAAATGTTTTCATCTGTTACTAAACTTCAAATTAATTGTTTAACTCAAAGATTAATATAAACAGATGTCAGGATATAAAATGTAGTTAATGTGATATTGAGGTTCTGTGCCATCATGTGTAACGGCAGGTTTTAAACCTTTTTAAAATTGCTGTATAATGAGTCCAATCTGTCCTGACTTTAAATAATCTAAGGTGAGCCTATGCCTCCTTTGAAAGGTCTTCTATCCACTCAGACTGGGGACACAGACGGATTGAGCCAAGAAAAAAAAGCTTGTACTCCCTCTAGTGGGAATTTGTGATCACAGCACCCACTTTCCTTTTGTTCACAGCACCCATCCTTTGTTCTATTGTCAGTGAGAGTATGTGTTAGCAAGGAGCCTCACACATTGTTGGCGTGCTAGAAAGTCCCTTCTCTTCACCCTCAACACCAGGGTTGGAAGCCAGTTTTGCTTTCTGGCCTCCTATAATTTTGGATGGAGTCGTACTGCTTTGTTTTCACTCTATTGGGATGAGCCTCCCGTATGAAAGCTAAACTATTCAGTTATGAGCACACATTGACTTTTCAGATGTGGCTTTGTTTTTCTTGTCTTTGTATCTTAAGTGGATTTGTTCTATTTTCTTTTATATCTGTTTGAGTTGTTTTAAATGCACAACTTTAGAAATGAAGGTGCTTTTCTTAATCAGCTGTTAAATTATTTCATTATAGTCAATTTTTTTTAACGCAACTAAGGGGATTCTTTGTCAGTTATTTTATTGCATTACTTTGTCAAATGTTGTGATCTTAATGAAGTAAAATCAACTTTAAGAAGAACGCCAGCTGGTTTCTCATTTGTCTACAAGTCTCAATTCAAAAGAAAAATACACAGTTTTAACAGTTTTTTATTTCTAAAATCATTGCAGATTGAAATGATTTATTCTCAAAAGTTTAGCTTAAAATATCTTAGTCACAAGCATGACCAATTAGCAGAAACAAACATTAAACAAGAATTTATGTCCCTTAAACAGTTCAACGTTGCAGCCAAAAATTTACATTTAATTGGGCTTGCAGTGATAAACAGTTTCTATTTTTAAAAACTAAAGAAAGATTTGGCTTTACCTGCTTTATTGAAAACTAAAGAGTACATATGTATTCAGCCAAATTCAACCATTTAATTGCAATGCAATAAAAGGTGGCATGATTAAAACAAAACTAGCATTCTGATCACCCAACACCCACAGGGAGGAACATAGTGGTGGCAGCATCATGCTGCGTGAATGTTTTTCATCAGTTAATGATGGACTGAGCTTAATACAAGGAAATTGGTCTGTCACTAGATCAACAACAAAGACGTTCTCGTTTCTGTCTGATAGTTTTCAAAGAATAACAGAAGAAAATGTCCATCTGATGTAAAACTGACAGAGCTAAAGTCACAGCCAAACAAGCCTAACTATTGATTTAGAGGAAGCTGAACATAAACACCAGTTTTCACATTTCTATTCTTAAAACTAAAACCGTGCATCCTTTTCCTTTCAAGGTTCCCATGTAATCTTGAACAGCTGTGAAAGTATATAATAATAATGAAAAAAAAAATAAAAACTCAACATTTTCAAACTTTGTTGTTCTATAACTTCGAAAAGATGAATATACATATATAGTTTGTAATACCTTTATTAGATCAACTCGTAATTTAACCAGGACCTTTAGATTTTTGGACATTTTGATTTTTGAGCTTCCGGATCCATTTATTTTAGAATTTCAAAACGGGCCCTAAGTTCTTAAAATCAATTAAGTTGAAATACTTGATGTGTAAAAAGTGAACAGTCGACTGTTTATATCTAAATTTCAAAACAGACAAAAAAAAACCTGAACTCTGTGATAAATGTGTAAGAACGGTGTAATTCATTGCTGTGTGATGCAAGTCCCAATAAAATACAATATAATTTAAGGATGTAACTTAGTGAAAACTGAAGTATTCAAGGGGTATGAATACTTTTGGTTAGTAATGTACGCCATGCTCATTTGATTCCCCAACAACTGTACAACAGAAACCTACAGGTAATTCACCTTTAATCAGCAAATGTCCCCGGTACACTTAGCTTCTTAAAAATCTCCTGAAAAGAAGTACATTGTGAATTAAATAAACTTTATCCGAAGGTGACATCTTTTGTAATTCGGTTCTCTACAAATAACACCTCTTCCCATTAACATCTCAGGCGAACTATGTGGACAGATTAGAGATGACAGTGAGATCATGAAGGAGCATTTTGATCTGATGCTTGGATGGACTGACCAGAAATGCATCTGAATACGATGTGATCAAAGTGGAGTTAAAACACTAACATTCTTCAGGTACCGCTGACAGCTTCCCCCTCTGCTGACCCTAAGCTGTTCTGCTAATGTGGACTCTTGTACATGTTCGCCAGCTGCTCTTGAAACACTCTGCGGATGTCGGCGCGCCTGCTCTTTAGGGTGGGCGTGAGAAGGCCGTTAGCGACGCTGAACGTCTCCGGATGTAAATAAAGATCCCTCACCTAAGGAAAAAAAAAAAAAGGTGCAGTCACTAAGATGTACATCACTGCTGTTTAAATGTTGTTGCAAACGTCTCACCTGTTCAAAGGACTTTAGCCCGGCCTCCTTCCCCAATGCTCTCATGTCTTCTAGGATGGCATTTTTTACATCCTGTTTGCAAAGATAAATATTTTTTTATTTTTCAGGTTATAAGATTAGAACATTAGAATTCTATGAACTTGCCGTACAGGGTTCTGGCACAGCTCCTGGTAGGACCCCTCAAAGCCCCTCTCCTTAGCCCATTCAACAAACACCTCTCGATCAGGCACAACTATGCCCACCACATAGGACTGCAGAAATAAAAAAGCAAAAAACACAGAGTGAAATATTTCAAACGCACCCTTAATAATGGAGATTAGAATTCGATTTTATGTGCTTACCTGTAAACTGTCTCCATGCACAAAAACCTGGAGCACAGGAACCGAACGCAGGTAGATGTTCTCTATCTTCTCTGGAGCGATGTACTCACCCTGGGCCAGCTTAAAGATGTGCTTCTTCCTGTCGATGATGCGCAGCGTGCCGTTCTGACAAAAGAAATTAAGGTACAAAAAACTTTTTTTTTTCTAAAAATCTGCAACATGAAAATTTTTTATACATCTTCAATTTATTCCTACTTTGTAAGCTTGATTGACTAACAGAGAGTGGCGCCTCATTGTGATGTGGAAGGACAATAAAAACACAAATCTGAAACATGACCGGTGCATTTGAGAGATCCAGCTGTCAGAGATGAGCCAACAGCGTTATGAAGAGCAAAGAATACAACAGACAGGTCAGGGATAAATCTTTAAAGCTTGCAGTATAACCTAATCCTAGTTTTCAACATGAATTATCTGAAAACAGAGTTTGGTGCAGTTAATCTCCCAACAAGATGATGATCAGGATAGCTTAGAGAAAGCACTGTTGAGAGATGAAGGATTAAATTAAAATTCATAGAGGGGCTGAATACAGATGCATGCCTCACTTTTCAGATTTTTCTTTTTCTTCTTCTTCACAACTGACTTTTTTTAGGTAACCAATCGTATAAAATGGCTTTATTTTGAGGAGACAAAATGTGAAACTTCATTCTGATGCTGCTGTAATAGTTGGATTATTTCCCAACTTACCGGAAGCCACTGGCCCACATCTCCGGTGTGCAGCCAGCCATCACTGTCCAAGGCCTCCGCTGTCTTCTCTGGGTCCTTCAGATAACCTTTGAATACACTGGGGCCACGGATACAGATCTACCAAGACAAAAGACAGCAATGTATCTCCAGGCTCCAGGCGTGCCGGGAACATGTGAAGCATGACTGAGCCTTTTTCCAAAAAGCTCACCTCTCCTTCTCCATTCTTAGCAAAGTAGTTCATCTCAGGGATGTCCACCACCTTTACCATGGCGCACGGTAAAGGAGCTCCAACATGACCTGAAAAAGACACACATCCAGTTATCTGCTGAAAACAGGAGAACCTTTATAGGCTGTTAAAATGAGCAATGCTCAAACCTGTGCTGCTGTCGCCTATCAAAGAGAAAGTGCAGCCTCCGGTGCACTCCGTCTGTCCGTAGCCCTCACATATTATACAGCCCATCGTGGCTCTGAGGAAGGACAAAACGGTGGAGGAGATGGGTGCTGAGGCAGTCAAGGCAAACCGGAGGTTACCTCCTAAACTGGCCTGAAACACAGAGGAAAACCCACATGAAAACATGACAAAAAAGTTCAGTGTTAAAAGACGGCCGTGTGGGGGTCAGAGTTCATTTCCATTTGAACTTTTATCACTCTTGGTCAGTTTCCCGTCTGAACCCATGCAGCAAGCCAAACTGTTTCAGCTCTGCGTTGCATGTGTGAATGCCTCTTCAATAAACTCCCACAGGTCCAATATGCTGCTGGTGATTCTTGGCACCGGCTGCTGGAACCACTCTGCTCCTCTTGGAAAGCTTGGATTCAAATTCCGGTGTAATTTGCAAGCTACGTGTTGACAGGTAATTTAACCGCTTAACTCTGCGCATTAATGTGAATGAAACACGGAGGAATAAAAGTTAACGGAAAATAAATAATTACAGAGGCAATATCCATAACTGATCATAGAGATTAGATATGGAGCGGCCTGATCAAAGGGAATGATAGAGAAAATTATTACAGATACCACTATGGAGAGTATTTTAATATCAAATCTGACACAAATCAATCAATAAATGAAAACGGAGATATATTTTCTTTTTCTACAGAAACATAGAACTATGGCCTTGGTAGATATAACAATTTAGTCAAATGGATACCTTTTATTGTTTAATACAGAAGCATAGAGGTGGTATCGTCATGATATGGGACATCTTAGTTGGAAAGAAAAGTTTGCAGATAACAACATATAATTTAAATATAAACCCACTTTGATTCTTGAATACATTAAGGCTTATTTAAGGCTGTTTTTAAAGAAAATATTAAAACTGTTGCATTTGAATTAATTTGAATCACTGGCTTGAATTAAGAAAAAATGAAAAGTTAATTGACTTTAAATCCCGAAGCCTTCAAGGCATAGAAGTGGAAGCATCATGGTATGGGGCAGCCAGACTCCCAAGAAATGCACCATATCATGTCAGTATAAACTAAGAGACTGAATCCTACATTCATAAAGAGACAGAAAACAAATCCTGACCTAAAGCATTTCTTTTTTTATTATAAGTTAACCAAAATCCTGAATGATACACCGAGGAGGCTTTATTTCTCATAAACTAAAGGGAAGAAATAGCGAGATGAAATTCAGAGACAGCTTCAAAGCGTATTCTGACACCATTCATTTTAACATTTAAGAATTTTTTTATTGTTTAAGAAAAAAATATATAAAGATCTAACCAATAATCTAGCTGTAGAGTTGATACTAAAGTTTATCATCATGTTTGACCTTAAACCTGTAAGCAGCACACTCTCCATGGTACTATACTGATGTAAATGTAAATGTATCCACCAGCGTTTTTTAGTCTGACCTGAATTCTGTTGAACACCAGTTTATCCCACAGACTGTCGTTCCGTATAATCCCTCTGCGGAGCTCGGCCTGCTTTCTCCTGACGGCGTAGTGAAGCAGAGCCCGCTGAAACGGAGAGGTCACAGAGCCCAGGATCTAGGAGGGAAAACCTTCGAGATGAGCATCTCGTTCGCTGCAGCCTTCACAGAAGCAAGAAAACTGAGCGCTTCACTGACCTTATCGTAGATGCGAGTAAGAATACGAGGCACAACAGGGAAGAGGGTCGGTTTGAGGGTTTTAATGTCATCCATTAGAAGAGAAATGTCCCCCTGGAAGAATCCCACTCGGGCTCCATAGCAGTACATTGTGAGCTACGACAGGAAGGCATTTCATTTTAGGCCGACAGAGAAACACTCAGATAAAAATGTCTCTGAAGAGGATGAACTACCTGGATCATCCTCTCAAACATGTGGGCAAGAGGCAGGTAAGAGATCGACACGTCGTCTTGCTGGATTACAAAGGAACCCTGAGAGACGACAGGAAACAAGATGAGCAAAGCTCGGGGGAGAGATTGCATTCAGGCAGCGGGATACGGCGAGGCCCCGCAGGCAATAAAACACACTTCTTTTCAGCAGCAGTTAGATGGAAGAATCTCTAGACAGAGGCAATTAGTTAAAGTAGCTCACAGCGACGTGGGGAAATCAAACATCCAATTAATCATACCATTAGACACAGCAGGGAGGGGGACAGGTTTGAGATACAAGCAGATGGGAGAGCGACCCTAGCTGGAAGGCTGTTCTCAATTAGACAAGGAGGTGGAAGTGTAGACAGACCTCCAGGATCTTAATGACAGAGGAAGTATTGGAGGCGATGTTCCCGTGGGTGATCATGGCTCCCTTGGGCTTCCCTGAATAAATAAACAAGAAATTACTGCAGTGCCCTGCAGAGCAAAGGAACCTACAGCGGTACCACAAAGAAGGACTGTAAGTGGGCACTGAGGGACGTTCATCTAATGATGTTAGAGGGGTATAATTACACCGAGACCTCTGAGATCAGACGTACCTGTGGTTCCACTGGTGAAGCAAACTACTGCCAGATCCTGAGGCTGGGGCAGCTGCAGCAGACAGAGAAAAAGTATGAGAACATGACTCAGGTTTAGAGAGGAGGAAGCCCTCGGTCTGGTTTATAAGTGAGTGCTAATGATATCTTGCTGGACAGGAGCAACTACAGAGCCGTCATGCAGGTATGTAGGAGACCATGAATCAGTTTGATGCGGTGATGTTGCAGCTGAGAGGACAAACTCACCACAGGATCTTTGAGGTTCTGTTTTCCCAGCTCCTACAGCAGGCACAGTTTACACATCATCATTGATGGAGCAATTAAAAGCATGTATATGTTAAAAAAGTCTCCAATTGGTGCTTGTTCCCACGCACCATGAGCTGCTCCCGGTTCAGAACGTCCACCGCACACTTCTTGGCCCTCTCCCCAAAGGCTTGGCTGAAGTCTTCAAACAGAACCAGGCAGGAGATCTTGGGAGTCATGCCTTTCTCCTTGCACTCCAGCAACAGCGCTGCCCTCTCCTCCCGGTCGCAAACAACTATGGACATCTCAGCTAAACAGACGCAAGTTTTAAAGTTTTTGTGCAGATATTTTCTCGCTTAAGTGCAAAAAAAAAAAAAAATGGATGGCCCTACAACATTTTCACATTCTGTGCCGCTAAAAAAAAAACAAAGCTGCATGCATTTTATTTGGATGTTGTGTGATAAACCTAGAATGTGAGAAGAAAAGAGTCATACTTTGCTTTTCTTTTTTAACAGAATAAAGAAATCATGCAAAGGAATGCATGTTTATCTAGACCCCTGGAGTGGAAGTAACTTTCACTCTGATTACAGTTGACTCTAGGGCTGCAACTAACAACTATTTTGCAAATTGATTATTCTGGCGAGTATTTTTTCGATTAATTGTTTATTAATCGGATAGCCAAAGGTTACTTAAATAATTTTTAGGAAATTTAACCAGGTGAAACTTAAACTTTTCCACTTGAGGAATTCTGAGAAACAATGCTTTTATCTTAAATGCAAAATATTTATATATATATTTTTTACAATTTTGGTATAATTACCGCTCTAAGTGGGTCACCCTGTCAGCTAAAGACATGTTTTAGAGTCTCTAAACTCCAGTTAACGAATAATCGATTACTGAATTAGTTGACAATTAATTGAATAATAGATTAATCCTATTAATTGTTTCAGCCTTAGTTGAGTCTTTTTGGTTTATATCTCCAACACATACAGAAACAAAAGTGTCTTCCAAAATATTGCAAAAACTTGAAGCTCAAACAGCCATAGATTCATCCTAATATATCAGGTCTCCTTTTAGTTGGATTTAGGTCTTTAACTTTGAGCCTCCTGCTAGAAAGAGAACCTGCTGTCCAGTCTTGAGTCTTTTCCTACTTCACAGGTTTGGTTTTCTTCTATGATAACTCAGTTTATAGCTGCTTTTATCTCTCTATCACCTTTGACCAGATTTCCTGTCCCTGCTGAGGAAAAGCTTCCCCACTGCACAGGGCTGCAACGCCTTTGTTTCACTATGGAAAAACAGTCATGGAAAGAAAGAAATGTTGTCCTCTTGTTCCAAAGGAAAATGACCTGAAGAATACAACAAAAACAAGTGAAGGCTAATATATATATTTTGGTGACAGTGCAGGTTTCTGCTCACAGAGGATTTTGCATGTTGGTCAAAATATTCAAGCTCCACCTGGTTGTCTTTGCTGTATCCCCTAGGTGGTTTAATATAAACTCCAAATGAGGCTATTCTAACAGCCTTGTTTCAAAGCTGGCTTTTTTGTGCTTCTTTGTTCATAAAAATCTGATTTTTGAATGCACAGATACAAGTAGTCCAGTCCAAAAATTATCCAAACCTGAGCTGTGAGTTTCTGCAGCTCCTCCACAGTTATTAAAAACAGCTCAGTTTCCTCTTTGATTAATGCTCTCCTTGCCTGAATTGTTAGTTTAGATTAGAAGACATGTCCTAGTAGGTTTATTCTATGCAACAGTTTTGGGATGAGGGATTTAACAGTTCTCAGTGAAACATTTAAAGATATCATTAAAAAAATTATTGACATATATTATTTATATGCTTTTGTTGTTCACTATTGCTCCTAATGAACATACACAGGTTTCACAGTACAGCTGAATTCATACTGAGATGTTTAAAGCAATTTGCCCCACTGGATTTCATTTAGGGGTGTCAGTGTAATTTTTTTTATTATGGATAAAAGGTGTTAAACTTTATTTCAGCTGAATTCTTTGCCTTGAGCTGCAGCTGCTATCTTATTGCTCCTTAAAAAATTAAAATAAAGGAACCCCTGAATTTGCTCCAAACAAATCCACTGCACCTTTTGTTTCCAAGTTTGAAGACATTTCGCTTCCCATCCAGGAAGGTTTTCGAATTCTAAATGTTAGAATTAGCGCTGAGTTCCAAGCTATATAGAGTAGCCCAAAATAAAGCCTTGTGTAAAACAAAGCCTTAGTTTGTTTCTTTAAAATTTGTGAGTGATGGACACATTAAAAGTGTTTCATATCAGTTCTTATTTTTTAAAGGAATGCTAAACTCCAACCAAAGAGGGGTCGGTTTATTTACACATAAGATTCAAGGAATTATTTGAGACCATCACTGTAAAGTTTATATAAAGGTTTTATCTTTTCCTACACCTGAGTCTACTTTAATCTGCTAAGATCTTTCCTCTTTTTTTTTTTTTTTAATAAATCTTTGAGATTGAATCAGTGTTGAAGGTTTCAGAGACAGGTTCTCACCAAGGTTAAGGATGTGGACCATAGCCTCCAGCCCCAGCGTGTCGTAAAGAGGCACCAGGACTTTGGAGTATGTGTAACAGGCCATCTCTGAAATGACCCACTGCCACCAGCAGAGGGAGACAAAGCAGCATAGTTAGACTGACTCAGAAGCTTCACACAGAGGATTGTAGAAGGTTACACAAAAACAAAGTATTGTACATTCAGGCTTGTTTTGCTAAAAAATACATATATTCTAAGCTGGTAAGGGTCAGAAAGTAAACCAAGGAAAGTGGATCTGTTAGGAATTAGATTATGATATTATATTTGGGGGATTTTAAATAATCCATCTTTGCATACGAATTTACATTTCGAGAGCATAACGATTTTAAAGGTTCAGGCCTGTTTTTACATGTTGAAAACATATAACCTGAAGTGAACCACAGCTGAGGTCATTTTAGGTCATTATTTGCATATTTAGAGGAAAGCAGGGAAATGCTGAATCCTTATGGAAAAAATCTGTTAGATAAAAATCATCAATTCATCCATATAAATTTCTCATCATTGTTAAACACAATGTCGATCTGATGAGTTATATCTGTGTATCTCACTGAAATGATGTGTTACATCATGTATAAACATGGAACGTCAGAGATCCGATGCTGGCTGATTTAAAATAATCAGTTTCGGCTTTCAGCTACATAAACGTCCTCTGCTGAAATCACATTAGGCTGACCCTCTGAACCCGAATTAAGGAACACATCAGGAGTTGAAACTAAACCCTCATTTTTCTGCAACCTTTCTTGCAATTAAAGCTTTAAGTTACAATTATTGAAAGGTAATCAAAAAGTCCACACCATGAAAATTCTCCCACCATGTTTCATAGTTCATGAGGTATTGAAGCGTTTAGCTTTAATTAGGCATGGTGTCCAACAGTTTGGTCAAGTCTGTCCATAGGACATCTTTCCAAAACCTTGTGAAGTGTTCAAATGTTACTTAGCAAAAGTAGAACCTATTGGGTATTTCTTTTATTTTAAGAAAAGCGTTTATTTTGGTAGTTTTTCCATAATTCCTTTCACTTTTTCATTTAAGATGCCAACTGAGGCCTGCAGAGTCTTAAATGAAATTTTCAGGTAGTTCTTTAGAACCTGCTATCAGGAAAATGACTTTAAACTGAAGTTACTGAAGCTATTCACTAAAGCAAACTGGTTTTCAGAGACGGTCATCCATTTCACATCTCATTATTCTAAAGTGACGCACCAATGAGGGTTTTTTAAAATATTTTTTACAAGAGAAATGTTTATTGTTTCCCCAATAATTCTTCAACAGCTTGATGTTGATAATAAAAGATGAGAAATATATACAGACTAATAGTTAGGCTGCTCCTCATAGGCAGAAAAATGACGCCTCCTAAAATATTGACGTAAAGATGTAATCGATATAAGTTTTTCTCTTTCCTAAAGAGAAGTGAATTCCTACCTCTGGTCTGTTTGTGGAGTAAACCCCAACAAACTCTTGGCAACCTTTGGCAATCATGCCGCTCCCCATCCACTGGGCCTGTTGAGCCACCTGGAGGATCGGAGAACTTCAATCAATAAACAGCAGAGATTGACTCACTATGTTCAAATGTTATCCTGACTGAGAGATCAAACTAGCCGAGTCACGACCTGAGAGTAGGAGATCCACTCGTAGGGCTGGCCTGGCTTCCTGTAGCCAAGACATGGACGGTCTCCTGCAGAACACAAGGCAGACGTGTCATAAAGGTTAAAACCTCTGGAACAATGGTAGAACTGAACATTACGGATTTGACCAAAGCATTAGGGACATTGTTTATTTCCTCCATCAGCAGTAAATCCAACCTGCTTTTTTCATACATCTAAAGTTCACTTTACTTTTTAATTTACTCTAGTTATTCAGAGCATTTTTGTCTCTGGAGTTTACTGTGACTTTATGCAATAGAGCAAGACACAGTAGACTTATTGTTAAGGAGAAGAAAATAAAAGAGCATGCAGCTGTAGCAGCACTAATTTAATCTCACTCCCCAAAAATGCAGGATCCGTTTGGATGTACAGCTTTAACCGCAAAACACATTTGCAGTTACAGCTAATCCTGTCCCTTGCCTTAGAAATGCACTTGGAAAATAAAATAAAAAGTAATATAATAGACTCATGAATCCCTTTCTTTCTACTTCACAGTTCTGTATTAGTCTGTGTTGATCCATCACACAAGCTCATAATGGAAAACATTTAGCAAGGCATTGTGGGAATGTGTGCTTCATCCATTACCTGAGATCTTCAGACCTCTCTGGAACATCTCGTACACGGTCCTAATGTCTTCGTAGTAAAACTCCAGCAGGTTATCATCTTTAAGGAGAGCAGATCTCCTACAGCTGGGATCTCCCTGCAAACAGATCGGTTATTACCAGCGACTGACCGCCATGATGACAGGAAAGCACAATGGTAGGCCACTCACGCCGACAGCAACAGACTGGGCTTGTAGATCACAGGGAGGACGCATGGGCCGAGGTCGGGTCAGCAGCCAGTACACAGTGAGGGACGCCACCGCTCCTAAACCCAGCAGAGAGGAGGTGGATAAGGACGGCAGGGACGGCAGGAGATTCCACAGCTCCTCGGCTTTAGACCCTTTGAGTTCTGCATGGGAGGAAAGCGAACGCAACCACTCCTGGAGCTGCATAGCTGCAAACAGAGCAAAAGCAGAAGGAAAAGTATGTAAATTATATGGTACATAGGCAGATGCTTAGGTCTGCAGCAGAGCAAACCAAAAACAGAAATAAAGTGAGTTTAGGAATCTATTGGACCTCACTGCAAATGTCCTTCTTTTTAATCTGTTGGACCTTTCATCATTACCTCTAAAGCAGCAATAAACTGTGTAGCACTAGACATGAGACCAGTTTCCTAAAATCGCTTCAAATTGATGGGTTTTTTTATTAAGATTTTTTTCAGTATATTACATTTAAGTACAAATTGTTTATTAAAGATTTTAACAACATTTTACTCGGTAATCTAAACCAAACACCATCATAGAACAGTGCTGAAGAAGACGTTTTTACAGGTTGTCAGCTTTTTCTTAAAAGGTGCAGGATGCAACCCTGCAAAACTAATTCCTGCAGGCGGCCATTAGACACTTTAACAAACAAAAGCTTCTCATTCCCTCCTTTACCCGACTATGTATTTTTATGTACTATACTGTAAATAGATTAGTGGGGCATTTGCCCCCTCGAAAAAATTTATCTCACCAATATTTTACTACTTTTTACTATTTCCTTTTTATTTTTGTCTCGTATCCATTTTGCGGGACCATTAACATCTCGCGACTTTACTGTTGTTCTCTGTCATTGAGATTAGAGTTTTGAAAACAATCCATCTCCTAAAGATTGTTAAAGTTTCTTCCAGTCATGAGATAAACTACACCCTACAAAACTTGAAGCATTTTGTTTAATTAAAATCTGATTTAATTATCATTTTGTTAAAAAAAGTAAACATGTGTTTAGAGTTGATTGGTATTTTATTTTGAAAATGTATATTTATATATATATATATATTTCTATGTGTCTTGTAAGTTCTTTGAACCTTATTAGGACATTTTTTTTTTTCCCGGTCACAAATTCAAAACATCACTGCACATCAGTAATAGAACACTTTACCAACAGTGAGGTATGACAGTGATGCTGTCATGCTCTAGGATTACCTTCAATAGGTCTTAGGTTTTTGTTGCAGCAAACAAAGATATAAACAGTTCTGCATTTTGGCCAATTTTGACCCAAACACTCCAATTATCTTATAGAAAGCTGAAGATAAGATGTACACTGCAAAAATGATCTAGAAATAAGTAAATATTTCTTAAATTAAGTGTATTCACCCTTAATTTGAGTAGGTAAATTAGCTATTTGCCAATGGAATGAGTAATTTTACTCCTAAAATAAGATAATTAGATAATATGCACTTGAAATAAGACAATGCAATTGTGTTTTCTTATTTTAAGCGTAAATTGTCTTGTTCCATTGTCAAAATGTCTCTTACCTCCTCAATTTAAGAACAAATGCACTTATTTTAAGAAAAAGGGACTTATCTAGATTTAGATTTTTTGCAGTGTAATAATTCAACTCCTTTTTTTTTTGTGAATCCCTGCAACACCTAAAGTATGATGGAGTCATGCTGCAGGATGTTAATAGAATCCTACCCAGAGGAATGTATGCTAAATTTAAATCAAAAGATGCTCTATCGTTGTCTGTGTCTGTGTGAAAACAGGATGCAGCAGAATTTTGTTTTTTCTCATTTAAACTGATTTGTGTTTTCTGCTTGACTGTCCAAAACAAATGTCACATATATGTGAAAAAAGCTTTAATTCTGTCATCCTTTCTTTTATGACAATAACCTAACAATGTGACAGAAATATATGGGCTATAAAGAGAGTAAGAGGAACTTGTTGATATTTTGGCAATGTGTCAAAAAAGGAGCACCAGTAACATAACCCCCCAATGCAGATTTCTTCTAATTAACACACAATACATCCAGAAAGTATTTAATGTGCTGACATTTTACACATCTAGGTATGTTACAGCCTTATTCCAGATGGTGTTAAACCAATTTCATCCTCAAAAAGCTACATAGAATACCCTAATATGTTAATTGGGTAAACGCTACCTATAGAAATGTTCTTTCTAAGCTCAAAATCAGGGTGGAGCAGGTTTTCCTTCAGGATTTCTCTTTACATTCCTGCATTAAAAAATCCCTATATCCTCAAAATTGACCAGTTTCTAATTCTAAAAGAAGACAACAACAGAAAAAAAAAACATCCCCATAGCATGATGCTGTCACCACCATGCTTTCACAATAGGGATGGTATTGTGCCTGTTTCTCCCATAGATAATGGTCTGGCATTCACAGCAAAGCATTCAGTCTTTGTTCCTCTAAAGCTGATAATTTGTTTTCAAAGGTCAGAAAGTCCTTCAGCTGGCTTTTGGAAAACTTTATACTGACGTCTGACGGCCATGTGCTTTTTATGAAGGAGTTTGCAGCTGTCCCTCCGCTCTACCACACAGGCTTTATGGGTAGATTGCTGCAGAGATGCTAGACTTCTTTTCTGCTAGCAGGAGTCCTGGCTGTTCCAAACTTTTTCTATTTATACATAATTGAGGCCATGGTGCTTACTGCGACCTTCAAAGTAGCAGAATTTTTCTTTTTTCTGTATCTTTCCCCAGATTTTGAGCCCCACGGCTGTCCTCTCTCTGATGTCTGCAGACAGTTCATTTGCCTTCATGCTTGGTGTTTGCTCTCTGCGATGATTTCCTATTCCTAGCCTTGTCCAATCAACTGAATTCACCATAGGTGGATTCCATCTAAGCCAAAGAAAAGACCTCAGCTTTAAGGTTCTGAATAAGGATTTAAATGTTACTTCTTGGTTTTCTGTTTGCAACAATTAAAAAAATTAACTTTCCACATTGCCACAGAGTAAAACAAAAAAGAATAACTGAACACCATTTAAAAAAAAGGACTTAAACATGACTAAATGTGGAAGTTCAGCGCTGTGAATACTTTCCAGATGACCTGTAGCTTCAATTTGATATCTGATCTGTGAAATCTGTTCACCGAACTGCAATAAATGAAATGGAAATAGGGAGGTAATGAATAAAGTGAAAGTAGAGAATCCAGCCAGTACAGAGTGGTGATGGGGTTGAAGCGCCCAGGCTTGGCACTGCTCAGAGAGAGAGAGAGAGAGAGAGAGAGGAACGAGGAGGAGAAGAAAAGGCTTGGGCACACACAGGGAGGGCTGGTGGAGAGACATCAGGAAGTAATAACGATTGGCCCAACCGAAACAGGCGCTAAGGTTACTCTCAGTCATGTTCTGCCACAGTTTCACCCAAAAGAAAACGGAAAGAAAAAGAAAGGGAAAAAATAATCCGGGTGAGTGGTGCAGCGAGGAGCTGACGGATGTGGATCACTGAGGTCTAACCCTAATGATTCATGGTCAGACTCCACCGCTTGTATCAGCACTGAATGAGTTTGATGAATTGCTCACAATCTAACTCTTAAGAGAACACCCAGCAGGGAGTCACTGTAGCTTTCTGGAGAATTGATTTGATCTTTTACCAGAAAACAAAATTCCATTTCCCTAATAAACCCCCCCACTTCACCACTTTGACTCCCATTCTTGAATACGCCTCAACCTCTCACCTACTTTCTCCCCCCGCACCCGGCTGTGGACGGGGTGGGGGTTACCAAGGGACCCCTCCCTCCTCTGTGATGCTGTGTCACTTCTTTTCCTATTCTAGGGCAAAGCGAAGCTGCGCTCCTCCTTGGAGGATCGATAATCTTCTCCAAAGCAGCAATCTATGCAAGCTAAAGCCGTTTACTTTCCACTTTACACCTGCTGAAGCAGCAAAGACGTCGTTGATCCCCTGGAGGGCTTTTATAAGGCAAACAAATGGAAAACAAACAGGTTGACATAAAAAATTACTGTGTGCAGCAAAGAGCACTTCCTGCACCCCCCCCCCCCCCTTTTTTTCCCCCCCCTGTCTATTCCTCAACCCCCATCCGTCCCCTCTCACCAGCTTTCATCAGGGCTCAGACAAGAACCATTGTATTCCCAGCCGTTTACTCCCCAAAGGCATGAGACAACAGAAATGACACTACAAAAATGCAGTCAGTCTGACCCGTTTCCTCTTTAGAAAAAAAACATTTGAATAATCAAAAAATTCAACCCTAGAGATCAGGTAGGACTTTGACACAAGTAAAGAAGAAATGTCAACAATCCCAGATGTTTCTAAGGGGAGTTAACTGAATGTCAGTCAACGTGGTGTTAAAGGCCGCGCACAGAAAGCTGTGAAGCAGTGAGATGCAAGATCATAGGGAGGAAGCAGCATGTAGCAGGAGGCCTGAGGCGGTCTGCATGTCCATGCACATGCTGACAAGCAGAAACAGCTTTTAACATTGGGGAGAGACAAGTATTCTGCGCTGATTGCTGGCGGGAAAAATCCGAAACCGCAAACTGGCTTTATAAAAAAAAAAAAAAACTTGGACTGAAGCCAGCAGTAGTGTAAAAAAGTAACGGTCAAAGGCTATTTCTGTTTGCTTTGTTTCAATAAAATCTTTAAAGCTTCAGATAGGACAGAACGTCTCAAGAACGGTTTGTTTTTAGAAGAATCGAGTTGAACAGGCGACTCGCCCGTCCAAAAATCTCAGCTCGACCTTAATCCTGCAAGACCACAGCTGCTTATTTCCATTTCCATCCCTATGTTAACATCTCCCTCCAACGCTTTCCACCAACAAGATGGGTCAAGAATCAGACCTTTAATCTGAGTGGATGTATTTATTAGAGAAAAACCATAAATCTGTTTGTTTTCAGCAACATTGCTGCTGTCAAAATTTTAACACATATTTAGATCAATCAAAAATGTAAGAAATCTTGATTGATAATCCAAAACTTGCCATTTTATCACATTTACTTAGTTAGGGTCGATTTCAAAAAGCAGGCTTAATAAAAACTCTTACGTTTTCGAAACCTGAAATCAGGGAAACTCTTGAGGTTTCCATTTCACAAAGAGAGATTATTCATCCTCCATTTCTGTGGCCATGGTAACATTCTCCCCAGCCCTGACGTGGTTGGGAGCAGGTTTTGTTCAGTAAACTTAGAGTGCTCTCCATCTCCACTCTCCTTAAAGCCAATCACATTGTTT